TTCAAATTAAATTACAGCCCACAATTTCAGTTTTTTACTTTATTATTTCTAATTCCGTTTTTTTTTAATCTTCATTTATCTTTTTATTTATTTTTAAGTGTTTTCCAATTAACAAAAACATTCTTTTTTAAAACTGTTATAACCTGAAATTTTATGCTATAGCTTGAAAAGTCTAAATCTACTGTTATTGCTTGAAAATAGTACTATAATATATGTCATATATGAAATTTACACAATATTATATTCCCAAACCAAAACCAAAAAAATCCGTTAATTTCCTAAGTTGATTTCCCTTAGGAATATTATGTTTGTGCTCTCTCTATATATATATTTCCATCAAAGGCAAAAGCAACACTCATCAACTAAGACACCATTAATCACCAATATTTCTATGTAATTTGCTCTCCTCAAAATAAATATTCAAAATATTAGTACAAGAAAGTGATAATAAATCAAATTAAAGAAAGATGACTTCTTGTGGCAAAGTAGAAAATCAAATTCTATGTGCAAGGGGTTGTGGTTTTTATGGAACATCAAGCAATAACAACCTTTGTTCCCAATGTTACAAAGCTTTTCTTAAAGAAGGAGAGGCCAAGAATGTATCTTACAAGAAATCTTCTCTTATTTTTCATGATGATTCTGAAGGTACAACTAAGAACGTTGAATCGACGATGAAGATTAAGCAAAGATGCATGACTTGCAAGAAGAAAGTAGGATTAACAGGGTTTAGTTGTCAATGTGAAGGAATGTTTTGTAAGGTTCATAGGTATCCTGAAGAACATGCATGTACTTACACGATTTCAAGTCAATTGGTCATGTGACTTTGGCTAAGGAAATTCTTCCTGTAGATCTGATAAACTTGAGACTAGGATCTAGGATATTGTTGTAATTGATTCGATTTTTCTTTTAAATTTAATCTACTCTTTTAATTTTTAGAATTAAATTTCAATTTGCATATCTCAATAAAAATGATTTACCATCCCAAATTGGTATGTTGTTGCTATCGTTAATGAAAAGTTAGCTAATTTTTAAAGGGTGACAAAAATATATCAATTTTCCTCTCTTAACTTTGTAGGAAATAATAAAATCAGATTCTCCTTCGATTTTAAATATATATCTCA